TTTTTGGGCCGAGGTGTTTGCTGCGCGATACGCAGGGGTCGTTCGCTCGAGTACACCGAGCCGAATGAACGCGTCACAGCACAAAAACAGTTTCTACCGAGGTGTTTATGACGCTACGTCATTTCGTGGAATCCGCGCCCGGCTTTTGGGCCGAGGTGTTTACCGCGCGGTACGCGGGGGTCATTCGCTCGGCGACAGTTGAACGGTTCGGTTATTCCGTATATCGTATTCCCAGTGAGAAGTGATTCGTCGATCGACATCATTTCGACGTCGATCGACGAATCATTTCTCGCTGGGTTGTTAGTCTTTCGCGTTCGCGACAAGTACGAGGGGAAACCTCGATCGCTCTCTGCGAATAATCGGTGACCGACGTCATCGCGCGATCGCTGAATCCCCGCGCTTTGCCATCGGATAGCCGATTAAAAAGTGGACATTTACACATTGACGTCTGGTGATTAAAATTCATACCATCGAAGAAATTTACCAGGAATATCAGTGCAAACAGTGACCTCGTGCAATCGGATATCTTTTGGTGTTAAACGAAATTTCCTGTTCGCGTGTGATTAGTGCTGAAGTGTTGTACAAAGTGCCACGAAGTCTCATCAATCATCCGACTGGGTTTGGTCCATCGTGTCACGAGATTTGGCCAATTACGCTACAAAACGTGAGTACATACACATTTCACGTGAGATTGACGACGAGAAATTAAATATGATTGGCTCCTTTTTATGTGTGGTAGGAAATCCATTTGTTTATTACGCGCGAATTAAATCGTACGTCGTAAGTTTGTCGGCAAACGTGTAAGCGTCAATTAATTATCTATCAATTAACATTATTAAAAGTAATCCTATTTATACTTGAGACCGAGCCACTACCCTCTCGCCGAAGTTTATTAGTTAAAAACTCTATTTTGAAGGATGTGCAAACTGGTGCGAGCGAAGAATAATCGAATTTACCGCCATTGCAAAAGCAGCGCGCGCGTGCGCGCGTCACATGTTCGCGCCCAGTTATTTCACGAATGAACAGCACTTCTCGGTTCGCGCGTAGCTCCGCGGCGGCGGCGGCGGCGGCGGTGGCGGTGGTGGATGGTGGCGAGCTTCACGGCGTGAAAGTCGGACGCAGTCGCACAGTTCGCTAATGGAGTCGCGAGTGTCTATCTGATCGCGTTCGTACGGCGAACGAAGGGAAAGAACGGTGAGAAATCGCGCTCGCGGAGGCCGCCCCCTCATTCCACCTTCGTCGCTCGACCCGATTCGTCCTGCTGGCTGTCGCACGCCGTGACATAACCTTCGCAAGAGGTAAGCGACTACTCCGAGGCTCCAGCTGCATCCGTGAAAAGCTACTCCGCGTGTTTCGCGTCTTTCGTCTTTTCCCGTTGAAAGTAAAGACACTCCGCTCCACGTTTTCTAATCGCTACCCTCGCCGAGCGGCCGTTCAGACTCGCGGGAGCCGACCGGGTTGAATCACCGGGTCGTCTCCGCGCTCTTATCTCCCCCGAGAGCCGCCTATCTCCGCCTCGCCCCTCGCCGCGACCGGGGTTGCTATCGCGCGAGGCGATATTTCGGATAACCTCCAACTTCGACGAACAAAGCTTTCGAACGGCTCTCTCGAGTTCCCGGAGATATCCCTGGAGCGTCGGGGAAATTCCCGGGGAAAATCCCCCCCGTATGCTTGAATCACGAGGAGTCTCGCGTGCCTGGACCGTTCGCTGTCAGTCCAAGTCTTTAACCGACTCTCTCACTCTCTCTCTCTCTCCGCGCAACGCGCAGTTTCGAAAGAGTAATCGCCGCGAATTACTCAATCGCGGCAGTCGGCCGTGAAAACAGGTTTCCCCGACGCGGACGTATCATTACGAGCATCATCGCACGAGCCTCTTCTCCCGAGTCTCTTCTTTCCCGTGTCGCGCGGCGCAACAACATATGTTAGGATTTCGCCGGAGATCGGCTTCGGCTGATGGGGCAAATGTGCCCCGTAACGGGGCGTCCGCTCTAATTCTCACCGTCGCGGCGCGTTTCGCCTAAACGGCGAGCGAGAGAATACGGGGCCGCGCGCGTTTCTTTCCCTTTCGCTCGGCGGTGAAAGCGGATAAGCCGGTCGTCGGCGTCGCCGCGGATAATCGCGGATAAACGCGAATCCGCCACGGATAATTTATCCGCCGCCTCTTCGCTCCACACCCCACGGCGACGCGCTAATTGATCGCGATTTACCGTCATTGATCCAATTGCAGCCAATATCCCCTCGCCCGAGAGAATCCTACATTATCTGACGATAGCGGCACGGCGAGAGGCACAGCGAGAGGATCGAGTTCGCACGAACGTTTTGCTACTTAATTTCACTTGGACGACACGCGACGCCGGATGAGGCCCAGAGATTCGTTCTCCGAGATTCCGGCTCCAGACTTTTAATTGGAGATCTCAGCCAGGGCTCGAAGGTTGAAGCTGGTATGGAGATTGCGCTGCTCTCTCTATCTTTCATTTTCATTTGTCTTGGAGCAATTTTCCAATCGATTTTGTCTTGCTCAAATACGCCCGTGCGTATTACATCACAATGTTACGTAATTAATCGCACTGATATTCGATTCTTTTTCTCTCGGCATCAACCGAGGGCTTTCACCTAGGTTGCTCAACGTCAGCTTTCGCGCAGCTTTCGGACGATATTAAGAATACGAATTTTTCACAGAGTCGAATCGGGTTCGCCTTGGCTTTCTCGGCAAACGGGAGCTCACGATCTCAAGTTTCCGTCGTAAAGGCAACAGAATATCTGGAAACGCGAGTTCGCGAACGTCGTGCCTTCAGTTAGGAGTTTGGAGACGCCGTTGCCTTCGGATTCCACTTTCTGTATCATTGAACGCTTTCGCGATCGAAATATTCTTTGTTCGTTGCATTTTCTTTCAACTGGGACAGCAGCGTCGAGGAATCGGGGGAGGTAAAAATGTAAATGCCTCGGTGAAAGGATGAATTCTGCGCCGCGTGATTTCTGTATTATTTGAAAACCGACGTCGCGAAGCGCCAAGTTTTAAATATCATTCAGGCGGAGCCGCGTATAAAGCCGCGTGTACCATAAATGTACTCGGCAATTGCAAAACCGCATATGTTGAGAATTGAGTTCTTAGCAGAATGGATGCCATTAAAGGAACACGCGCAGAAATGTTCGCTCTAATGAGACCTGATATAGCTCCGCATGCATGCCCGCGCGCTACCATGCGCGATTTAATGTAACGAAACTTGTCAGCAACAGAATTCTTCTACAGTATATCGCTACGTCAGGTTCGCCGCACTTCCTTTCACCTGCAAGGTCTTTGACTCATTGATATTTCCCCGTTAAGACATTCAATGACTTTTACGTAGTAAATGTTTAAAGATGACGTTTTCATTACTCAAGTTTCCAAGGTGTAAACGGTTGTTGCCGTTACAGAAATATTCTCGTATTCCTTGTCCAAGTTCTATTGCACTTTAGCTTTATTGATTCTACATTAACTGTAACTCGGAATTTGTAAGACCATTTACAAAGATACTTAAGGTCGCTTTTCTCTTAAAAAAAAGGAAAGAACTCCACAAATGTAAATCGATGGGGATTTTTAAATCGACGGGGGTCGGTTCTATTTTTAAGATTCGAGCTTATCGCAATGAGATTCTACCACGCATCGTGACGCAGCGCAACTTCTGGTATTTTCATATTACTTTCACGAGAATTTACCCGGTCATTAAGTCGACCGTCACGATCTCGCCGTGCGAATAATTTGTGCTAAACTGATCGATGATCTGAATTCTTGCCTTGCTTCCGGCGATATTAGAGCCCCCATTTTCCTTCAGGATTTCCTGGTATTTCGAGATACAGGAGATTCTTGCCGCACGACAGATTGCCGATTGACGTCATTTTTATCATAAAACTTGGACGAATGGTATATACCAAAGCTTTATCTCGAGTAATACGCCAATTTCTCTACATTTCGTCAATATGGAGCACCGGATAAAGACCAAAAATTCGCTTCGAGTCAATTGACTAGTTTGTCACCGGAAATTATTTACAATTTGCAATCGACACTGGAAGTTCATCGTCGGTTGCAAATTTCCAATGTCAAATACCTTTGTAATCAATTCTGAAATTATAATTTTATCACTGAGAAAAATTTTCATCGGATAAACCAATTAAATAGTATGTCCGATGGTTAATTTTTCCGATTACGTTTTCCGATTAAATTATAATAGATATATCCGATGAAATTTGATTGAAAAACCGATCAAATTTTTCATCGGATATACAATTTAATCGGATATATCCATTTGTTATCATGTAATTGGATTATCCGATTACATTTAATCGGACATTTTTCTCAGTGTATTAAATCAACATAGCTTGAGATTAAATGAAAAAATAGAATCTTATCATTTCTTTTACTTCTGAAATTACACGGTCTCGGAAAGTTTTACTTGTTACGGCTTGAAAACTATCGATTCTTCGACCCTTTTAATATCTTATGCTTATAAAATATAATATTGTGTACACAGCTGAATATTGCAGCTGATGATCGTCTTAAATGACTTTACGTCGACTTAAAATTCTTACAAATCAAGCTTAGATTTAAAAAATGCACACTCTTGAAATTACTAAAACACCACGTACCTGTTCTTCTTGCTCGCGCCTTGTTTAAATCTATTTTTACGAAGACGTTTTATCCTTGTTACTCTTCCCGATATTTATTCCGGATCAGCAGGACATCCTGTTTTTTGTTTTCAAACGTTTTTTTATGAGCAGGAATTTTAATCGCGGTTTCTGCGGCGAACCACCACTGGATAATGACGAGTCCTTTTCGTCAACAGAAATGTTCTGGCTTCGTAACGCTTCTGCTTCGCTTACTTTTTAATTATGCTCTCGGGTTTTATTATATTTTATATTTTATGAGCATGTATAGATATTAAAAGTATCGGAGAATCGATAGTTTTAGTTAGATAACTTTTCGAGAACGCGTAATTTCAGAAGTAAAAACAGATGATACAATTCTATTTCTTTAATTTCAAGCTATGTTGATTTAATGGAATTATAATATCAGAATTCATTACAAAGGTATTTGACATTGGAATTTGTAACAGATGATGACTTCTTCTAATGTCGATTGCAAATTGTAAGATGTTTAGCGATATGTCCCACGAGAGTGAAGCGATCCCAACTACCTTCCTCGAAAACAGAAAACTATTGGTACATAATCCCACATACCACCGCGATATGTTACGCAACCTAATCCAAGTTGGACCGCGATAACCGAGGTTACCTGGACGAGATAGCCAGCGAAAAAATTCCTGATACGAAAGCGATACTCGTAACGATAGCAAGCCCGTATTCAAGTCCTCGCTCGTACCGTCGCCGTGTTTCGTTGAAAAATTGGAACAATAGTGCTTGTGCCAGCCGGACAACATGCGTCAGCGTGTGTGCATTTTAAACGCATTCCCCGACGTAGCTTTATCTGCCGCTTACGTATTTTTCTTCCACCAAACAGGCCGCGAAACGGCCAAATACAAAACAAAACGTCGGCTCGGCTCGTGCTATTCTTCGCGCCAAATGTCCCGATCTTGTCATCACACGCGTGCGAAATTGATCCTCGCAAATGCGTTGATGATGGCGGAAACACAGGACGTTACACGGATTTTTATAAACCATTATTAGATGAGTCGCCGAAAATTTTTCCCGATTTATCGTCTCCCTCGAGTATCTCTCATTTTTAATTCTTTATCGTCGCACTTTATCGTTGTAACTCGAGCACGCAGTGGCTGGTTTGTTTATAAATACACACCATTGCAACGATTCTTTTAAACGAACGCGTATCGTGCGGAATCGATCGATAAGCTCCCGAAGCGGCGAGATATGTGTTTATACACTTGTTATCGATGTAGGTTTAGAGTAATATTTATTAAAGCGTCTTCATTTAGCTTTATTTATTTATATATATTTAATATCATAATTCGCCGTATTTCTACCTTACTCGTTCGCTGTGTTGGCGTTTATCTTCTTCTCTCGGTTCCCGAGAATTTTTTATGTGTCTTTCGAAACCCGCGATTATTGATTTATTGACAGATTCTATGATTTATGATGCGTTTTTCCTCAAACATATCCGTATATCAATTCCAGTAAAGTCTGTTTGAATATGAAACGTGATTTTGTTATCTACGATCTTGTTCAAACTCGGTTCACGAAAAGTGCTTTTTTTTCAATTAATGGGAAATTTAATCTCACATTAAGATAAGACTTAGAGCACACTGAAAAAAAAATTTCTGGTTGAATATGGACGAATCAGATAATTTCTTTAGGATTTACCAGAATTCCTGTAATCCTACAGAAATTCTGGTAAATCCTAAAGGAATTATCTGATTCGTCCATATTCAACCAGAAACTTTTTTCAGTGCAAGAATTAAGATTGTGAATTCTACATATTAATTTTCTGTTAGCATAAACGGCAGTTAAGTGGAAAAATGTCTTATCTTAACGATATATAAATACCCGCGCGATATACGTTCGACACGTGTTTGCAAAACATCTTTTTGTGAATCTTTTTAAATTCAGTCATTTAAATCACGCACGACAAAATAGCCTCTACAATATGGTATAGGCAGTGAGCAAATTTATAATTTTTCATAGCAAAGAAAATAAAACATTTGCTTTTACTTTAAAGTTTTAATCAAAGCTTTAATCAAAGAGAGGCAGGTTTATTATCCGGATAATAATAGACGATCTAGGATATTGCAAACGTCTGAAAATAGAAGGTAAACCTGCGAAGATATTGAATCCCAATCGTTAAGGGAAAAGTACGTATTTCTAGAAAAGTAATTTTAATTAAAGTAAATAGAGCTTATCATTAATCTTGGAAAAAATATATTAATTCTTCGCCGTTGTTCTCTTTATTATTTGTTCTTTGTTACGAACCTTTTGTACGACGTTGAAGAAATAATATTACCCTTGAAATATAATTTCAAGTGGCCTCTTAGCTGCTACAATTTCGACTAATTACTGCTTTCACAAGATATCGTTCAGGATTACTTAAAAACACCCGTGCACTTATCAACGTTTCAACGTCAAAGAGAGTATCATATCGAAATATGGAATTTCTCGAAGCGAGTTTAACAAGAGAGTGTAAAATATTAACTGTTCCGAAACTTTTTCTCTTTTCGAAATTTTTCCTATATCGGATGTTTGCTCTTCAGAAGCTGTTTTATGGTTGTTCGGCTTCGATTTCAATGAAGCCGAGAATTAGCATTCGAGAATTAGCGAATTACACAAAACTTTAAACGCCTGCATTTCAAGCGTGAAATATTTTAATATTAAATCACGCACATGATTGTTGGAGACGTGCTACGCGAATTAAAGTATCTATCGTTATAGCGTTATTCCGGGAGTATCGTCGCGTACAAGTCGTGTATCGCCATGTCTTTATCTAATCCAACGAAAGCTCGCTCGCTGAATTTCGATGTAACAACATTGAAATCGTGTTGAAATACTCGATTCTTTTAAAGTCAACTCATTGTCTGTAAAAAGTCTGTTTTGGAAGAATTATAAAAATGTGGTTGGCTCCTAAAATGACTATAAATTATAGTGAGATTGTGGTAGCTGCAACCATTTTTTTCCATCAGTGCAGATGACATAGGAACTATTACTACTATGATATACATGTCTCTCGAATATGTGCAGCGCATCCGAGATAAGAATCTTCCTTTATCCCAGATCTCACCACAAAAGGAATGTTTTTATTTAAAAAAAATGATATTAATTTTGAAATCCTTGAAGTCTCCGCCATGCCTCTATCCAGTACGAAGATAACATAGATAAGCTATTGCTACCATAATATTCATGCCTCTCGAATGTGTGCAACAGTTGATTGAGCGTATGCTGAATGAAGAATCTTATTCCAGATGTCTCACGATCACCATACAATCGCGAACAGTACGGAAAATGCGTCCCACGGCTTGCACATGGCTCATCACGGTGTTGTGAACCACGGCAGCATGGACCACGGTAGCATGGACCACGGTAGCATGGACCACAGCAGTATGCATCATAATCTCGAGGCCTCGATGGACAGCGCGTGCAACGGGATGCACAGCATGCACAGTATGTCGGTACGTATGATCCGATTGGAAGCTCGGCGAATGGTTAACGAGCAGAGTCTGCGATCCTTAGATGACATTCCACACCGGCTACTGTGAAGTAGTACTATTCGAGAACTGGAATATCGCGTCAATAGGCGGTCTCATCGGCTCGATGATCGGTATCGCTATCATGGCTGCGCTCTACGAGGGCCTGAAATATTACCGGGAGTATCTGTTTTGGAAGACGTACAATGCCTTGCAATACAGAAGCGTTACGGTGCCTAACGAGAAGAATGTAGTCGCCGAGGATAACCGGGTCGTTCAGTAAGTTCTTTCGTTTCTTGCTGGGTGATCCTGCCAGAACCGTTGCTTCTTGTTGTTCTTGCTCGTATAAGAGTATTCATTTTATTATGTGAATAGTCCGTGAAGAATTCTGAATGGAGAGTGACATCTTAAGAGATATTATACGAGCGCATTATAACGAATATGTTCCAAAATCAAGAGGCGATATTTCTCGCGGGATACCAAGTATATAAGCGACGTAGCTCGTATTGTAAATCTAATCGTTGAATCTGCTTTTAGTATGGTTGGCGAAGTAATCCACAAACAACCGTAAGTAAATCTTGCGAAACACTGACTTGTCTTTCACAATTGTGCTCCCTCTAGTAATGATTCATTACTAATTATCTTAACAGGATAATTAACAATTCCTAAACAACAGCAATAAGAACAATTCTCTATCAGTGTTTCGTTAAATAATTGTGATATTATTAACATGCATGCTATGTCCTCTTATGTTCCTTTACACCTTGAAAAAATATAATTTCTCAAATCAATTATTTAATTGTCAACATAATTAACTCATTGTTAATTTTGTACTTGGTCATGTATTTATTTTAATAATTAGGGCTTTCTGAGTGGTACAAGTGCATGCATATTCATATAGTAGATGTAGTCACAAATCATTTCTAGTGTATATAATAAATATCTACTGGACAATTCAATTCCTAATTGTTTCTCAATGGCATTCTTTAAATAATGAAAAGGTATCTGATAAAATTGTGTTATTCGGAAAAAAATAAGTATTATTCGCCCCAGAAATTATATGATTCACCAAATATATATCATTATATGAATACATAATCTACGTAATCATTTTAACATTCTAATTTATATAAACTATATGAAAAATTCCATTTTTCACTTTGTATCTGATACTAATGTTACAAATGAATGGATATTTGTCAACTTTGGAGTTTTGCATATTTTTGTGATTTGAAGTGAACTTGGACATAAGGTGCCGTATTAATCTGTGCAGGCCGACTATGATGTCCTGGATGCATTTGTTTCAAACGTTTCTACACATCATACAGATGGTCCTGTCTTACTTTTTGATGCTAATCTTCATGACTTACAATGTCTGGCTGTGCTGCGCCGTAGTAGTGGGTGCCGCCGTCGGTTACTTCCTGTTTGGTTGGAAAAAATCAGTGATCGTAGACGTTACGGAACATTGCCATTAGCATTTAGCCAATTGCTCTAATTTACTCTTCCATACATGCGTGAAAGTGTGCGCGCGACTGCATTCAGATAGAAATCGGAAAAATGAGAAGAGGGTGGAGATTGAAAATGCTACATTGCCTTCTGCTTAGGTCCAAGAAAGGATGTAAAGGACTAATGTTCTCTAAATTCATGACACATATACAGAACGCGACAAAAGGAAGAAAACTATTTATTCTAGGTTCACAATTTAGTTTTTAATCGCTTACATATAATTCCTGATTTTCATCTTAAAAAAAAATAAGCCAATTATCCTTAAGTTACCTATAATCAAACATTTTAAGTAAATTTATTACAGGAATTCTATATATAGATAGAAGAAATTGTGTTGAAATGATTATAGTGCGATTCGCTTCTGTGTCATGAAATAATACAACTTCATAAGGAACCACTGGGAGCTCGAATCTTAGATGTATATAAACATGATAAACTGTAAATATTATTAAGGTATTCGTATAAGAATATACTGTGCGATGCTCACACTTTTTCCCATTTTTATCATCCGTTTCTATTGTTATTCTTTTATAAACATATTCATTATATTTCAGCAACATAATATTTGGGAAAGAGTGTGCTACATTGTTCTAAATAATTGTAAAAACATACCATTACAATATGTTAACGTATTCTTTCACGTTAACGTGTAATTACATGTAAAGTATCATGAAATATAGCGTGAAATGCGAAAAAAAAGGAGGCAAGTTCGAAAAATCAAGGAGAGTTACGATTCCTTTTCTCTTTTTAATTTCCATCTTATAAACTTTTGTCTTATTATTTATTATATCATTTCTTGGTTTTTATTTAGATACTTTTATAAAACACTCTTCTCTGACGCAGATCGTACGTAGAAGAAACTTTTTCACGAAGAAAAGAATATGTCAACCAAATTTACAAGAATATGACGATTCTTAAACAAGCACAGTGTAAGTTTATTTCTTTCTTGCAAAATCAACTCCTAGAATTATAAAATCTTAAGGCATACACACACATATATATATTTTTTTTACATAAGTCATGTACATACGAGAAGTGGCCTTGTTTGCGAAACATGTAAAAATAATAAATAATCGGTACGCGCGTTTTTTTTCTCACAAATAAGATTCATATATGTGCAGCAGTGTATCCCTTTAAAAACAATTCACAGATTTCGTATAGAGATTTGGTGCAAGAATTCCAGGACTCTCAATAGTTACGAGGTGGTCGTCACCTTGATATGATCAGTTTTATGCGCTTAACATCTTAACTATTATTATCGTTCTATGCTTTATTATAAATTTATATATAGCCATATATAAAAAGCACCAGCATGCACATTTCATACGCAATTAATTCGAATCGTGTTATGGGGAAATCATTATATACTTTTTCCTTGTACTTTGTATGAGGCATCTCTAAAGAATAAAGTATCATTTGGATGAGAGATACGCGGGGCAAGAACGCACCGTGTGCATCAGCGATCGTACAAAAAGCTTCACTTTCATAATTATTAATTTGATAGAAAAATCGTTAGACATTGAATGCACAGAATGTTCCGAGAGCAGACGAGCTGTGCCGCAATTTGTACAAACATCAAATTCGCATATAAATACTGGGTGTTCGTAGCGAGATCCCGCGCTTAACTAAAAAAAATCACGTCGCTTTACTGCTCTCAGATGTATGCCGCGAGAATAAGGCAAAATTTAGATTACGAAGCTAAAATTACAGTTTACGCCTATCTCTTATGTAATAAGTTAATTATCATTCTTATTCTTATTTATTATCATCATTATTATTATTTTATCACAAGCCAATGGTGTATGAAACACTTAAAATACTGTCGGTAGCTTAAGAGCTGCACAAAGCATTGATAGAGTAAGGACGTTTAACCTGATCTTACATCTTAAGGTTGTATTCTGGAAAGATCAATCACAATATATTATTTGTCTTATATACGATCTCTGTGGCTCGAGTATTTAAGACTCGTAATAAAGAGAACCTAAGCCAGCCAGTAAAGAAATCGCTCGTTCACACTGCTAGTGATATCCTATGCGGTCCATACATTCTTTGGAGATCTTAACTGGTCTTAAGTAAAAAATTTGAAACACAATGTATCCCATATTACACACAACCGATGCAATTCCAGTGTCAATAAAGAAAGTTCGCCGTATAATGAAGAGAGTATTGTAGACAGGCAAGAGATTCTCTTCAAATTACTTTGTTAGACCTAGAAACAAAGTATGCCAGGAGTAAAGAAACCGATATCCTAAGTATAATTTGTTAAAATGTCTAGCTCTGTAACTGAAACCGAAATGAGATTACGTGTTATCGAAAGCTCTGTTCATTTCAGCAACTATTCAGATTCTCTACGGGGTGTAAAAGAATTGCGCGTCTCGCTGTAAATACGCAAAAGAAAGATAAGACGCACGGGCCAAGGGAAGAAAAATAATCTCTTACAGTTATATTGTGTAACGTGTATCCTTACAGATCCTAAATAGAGCAAGCACCGTTTCTACGAGTTGAATAGTGCGACGTTGCGTGTCCCTTCCGAACATAAAGAAAACTTTACAAACGACTTGTCCCAGAAATGTCGGCTTGCGTCACGTACAGATCGTATATCAAGTCTACCGGCCATTTCCATTATCTGGTCACGAATGTGGATCTTGAGAAAAATGTATCGTGCATTATTTCGCCGGAACGCAAAGAGAAATTGCAACAAAAAAAAAAGAAAAATCACAAGCTGGTGACCTACTCGGTGCCGGAAATGGGCATGCAGCAGCTCGTGCGATGCTGGGACTGCTGCTTAGAGAGATCGACGGTGTCCTCCACCAAAGGCCGCTCCAGTCTGGCTTCCAGACGCGCCCACGCGTCAACCGCCGCCCCGAAGGCCGCCTCGACGTTGGTGGCGTCTTTTGCCGACGTTTCGACCAGCGGGGGACTACCGTTCTCCGTACACCAAGCTTGAGCCTCTTCCGTGCAAACTTGCCTCTCGGACTCGGGAACGTCCACCTGCGAAAGAAGAGACGATGACGGAGTGCCCCGATCGAGACCCCGTCTCCCGAATAGCATACCTTATTGCCAACAACGATAAATGGGAAAGTGGAGCCCTCCTGAACGTCCGCGTACTTGAGAAACTCGGATCTCCACAGGGCGAGATTCCTGAAACTCGTCCTGTCGTCCACCGCGTATGTGAGCAGGCAGATGTCCGAGCCCCTGTAAAACGGCGTCCTGAGGGTCTTGAACCTCTCCTGGCCGGCCGTGTCCCATATCTGCAGCGTGTACGCCTCGCCGTTGATCTCGATGTCCTTGTTGAGAAACTCCACCCCGATGGTGTGGAAGCTGTGCTCGTCGAAGTGATTCGACACGAATCTGTTCATGAGGCAGGACTTGCCGACGCCGCCGTCCCCGAGGATCACCACCTTGAGCAGGGTGGACCTCTGCGAATTTCGATTCTGCAGATTACCGCCGGCCCTGCCCGCGCTCGCCGACGAATTCGAATTGCTCGCCGACATCTTCCAAATCTAGGGCCCGCCGGTGGTAGCCGACTCGACTCTCCTGGCGATATTTATTAATATCTACCTTGACGCGCGCGAAGCTATCCCGTTCGACAGCTACTCCCATTCGCTCGAGCCCGCTCGGACACCTCGGAGCACCTCCGATCAGCTGATCCGGTGCAGGGACCGCAGAGTTACGACCTCGGTCTCTCGGGACTTGCCGAATCACGTTATCGAAACATAATACCGCCTCGCGCGTTATCCGTCAGATTTCTCCCTCCTCTTCTCTCTTCCCGTCTCCCCCTCTCTCTCTCTCTCTCGCTCTTTCTCTCCTGCCTACACCGGACAGCTAGCAACGAGAGAACACCTCGACGTCTCCGTTCCCTCTCGACTCCGCTGCATAACCTCACGGTCACGCGAGGTCTCGATCGGCGCGAGCCTCCCTCATCGAGTCTCGGAGCCGCCCGGTGCGGAGCGAACTCGCGCGCGCGTCTCCCCCCCTCCAATTTTAATTAAACTGTCGCGCTCGAGGCACGCGACGAGACAACGGTCCTTTGTTGTCGCGGCACTAGCCACGGGCCAGGCCAGCGGGCGGCAGCTCGTCAGCGGGATCGACGACGCATTCCCGGGTCTCCGGCGGCGTCCTCTCGATCTCCCCGGCGCCGCGGCTTCAGCAACACTCTTTGGTCGACAGACGGCTACGGCTCTCGGTCATTTTCGGCGCCGGGCGCTCGCCCCGACACATCGCAGACGACGAGAAGAAACGCCCGTTCCTCACCGCGGGCGGGATCGGTCAGGGGGCGAGGGAGGCACGGAGGGGGGCGCCGTCACCCGCGAACATGGCTACCCCGCGAGACTATAAATAATACCAGCCGCAGTCACGGGACCCGAGAGAGAGAGAGAGAGAATATCTGCGGACGCGCGGCACGTATCGCCGAACCGCGACGGGGACGGAGAGGAGCGTCGGCTGAAAAGAGGATCCATGACCGCATTTCCGCTCGTCGATTCGAACGCCACCGCGACCTGCCACTTGTTCTTTCGCGCGCGTCAGCTGTCGCGCGGCTGCCCGCGCGCCGCGGACGCACGAGTTGTCTAGATGCGCGCGACGCAAGGCAACTTGGAGCCGGAAGCGGCCCTCGACCCTTCGCCGCGGCGCGTTTTTTTTCTTTTCGCCGGACACGGGCTGCTTTCGCGAGAAAAATGATTCAGATTAAAATGACCTTGCGCTATGATTGGTCAGATCTGGAATTTCGTTGAATAAAATTTGAACGCGACGCAAGAGAGAAACCTGGGCTGGATTCACATGGAGCGTAACTTGCGTAAAGCCCAATGTCCACGATGCTAGAACTTGGTCCAAGTTCTAGCATCGTGGACATTGGCCTTAAAGCCTCCGCTACAATGATTCTCGGTTCTGTCTACAATGGTCGTAGTCGTAAGAATAATCGACTGCGATTGGTCAATTCTTAGGCTAGGTCTACATAGGATGTAGTAAGTCG